TCTGTCTGCAGAGCCCAGGACGGGGGCAGTGCTGTGGAGGGGATGTGGGGGCACGGCCGGGGGAATTCAGCTCAGGCTGGTGATAGGGTGTGGTCGAGGCACAGGGAGGACTTCGGGGAGAGGGTTGTCCTCTCTGAGGCCTGGAGGAGGCATGAATGAGCCGAGAAGGAGGTCAGAGGAGAGCGGCGAAGGACTGCAGCCGGGAGGCTGGAGGGGGACCTTGCCCAAATGCGTCAGTCCAGACAAAGATCAGGAAACCGTAAGGCAGTTTAGTCAATTGCCTGCATTGCAGAGAAACAGAAATATGAAGGCCACACACTGAAATTAGTGACTAGCTGTGACTTATGATCCAGACATCTCAGCTGGAAGGCCGGGACAGTGACTCCTCTTCACCAGGGCTGCTATTTATTCTAGCGTGCTTCCATTTCAAGGCATTTAACCCCTGTTGATGAATGACACGTGAGTACATGGTGGAGTCATCTCCAGTTCAGAGAGGGGAAGTCAGGGGTCAGCAATGCAGCCTGCTCAGACGCGCTCCCACGCTGGGGTCGGGCAGCTCAGGACGCTGCCTCTGGGTGGGCAACAGTGGCCTCGCCTCTGCGCTCCTTTCAGGTGCTGCCAACCTTACCAGGTGCGAGTGCAGCTGCTTCTGTGGAGGAAGGGAACGGTCTTGGCCAGGAGCTGCCACCACCGAGTGGGGCCAGCCACTTGCCCGTCAGCGGGGTGGCACAGCCTGGCACCTTTGTTCTCACATTTGCTTTTCTTTCCTGAACTTGGCAAGCAAAGCCAGTCCCAGGAGGAGAACTCCTTCCCAAGAGGAGGTTAAGCGTCTTGGCTTTAGTTTCCAATATGACTTGCTTGACTTTTTCCCACTTCACAGAGATAAGTGAAAATCCCGCAGGTAGCATTCACTATTGCCAAAAGACCAGCTTGCTCAGGCCTGGCAGAGGAGGCGGGGAGAGAGCGGGCCAGTGACCAGTGACAGCCCCGGAGGCCGCCCACTGGAGCCACCGGACAAGGCCACAGGCACCCAGGGAAGGCTGGGGGCTGCAGGAAACGCTGCGGAGTGACCTGGAGGGCCCCGTGCCTGAGTGGAGGGTCTCCGGAGCCGCGGCAGCAGCAGTGACTTTTGCCATTTTGTCTGCCGCAGGCTGTCGGCTGGTGTGCAGCGGGGCTCCGCTTGAATTTCTGGTTTGCTGGAGGCTTTCGGATGAAGGCGTGAGCTGAGAACTCCCCAACTCCTGGTGGCTGTGCTAAGTCGAGTGTGACAGTCAGAGCCACGCTCTGCCAGGACGCCGTCGTCGGCGTGGGGGCCAGGCGAGGAGGCGTCCTGTTAACCAGAAAGGTGCGTTTTTCTCCATTTAGCTTCCAGGTTGCGGAGGAGTAGGCCTGTCTTTCTGGGGACCATCCCGGCCCAGGCGGGCGCCCTGCAGGGCCGAGTGTGACTGCAGACAGGCTGCAGAAGGTGTGAGCGCCAGGTGGGGCCGGGAGAGGAGTGGCAGACTCCCTCTTGCTTGCTTGCTTGCTTCTGGCTAATCACTGTTATGAGCTTGCAAATGGCTCTTTACACAGCGGCTCCCCAGGAGACCGGCAGGTTCTGGAATAAAATATGATGCCAAGCTCCCTTCTATCCATTCTCCTGGCTAATTTTCAAAGCACTGACAAAAATATCCCAGAGCACCTCATGCAAAGTAGATGCTTAATAAGTATTCAGTGAACCACCAAGCAACTCACAATAAATGACAATAAATGACACTGTGGCATCAACATGCTGGTCTTGGACTTGATGTCCCAGAAAATAAGGGCTGTGGCTTTTGAATCTGCCTTGCAGAAAATTAGAATTTTTTTCTAACATTTTTGGTGATGATGACGATGAATCCAGTCCTGAGTCCTCTGATCTGTAGAATGGAATAGCGGAGCTTGAAAAGTAATTCTATGTGTTCATCAGGAAAAGCGGAACAGGAAGTTTGAAATCACTGTATCCTGAAAAACACCTGGCTGTGCCTCCAGGGAAGTCTTTGATGCTCTTGCAGGAAACTTACCAATACAATACATCCCTCAGCCTGGGAGGCCCCTGGAGAGCACAGGAGCTCTCTTTCTTTGTACCAGTGTACCCCTTTCTATCCAGAAGTTAGTGGGAGCATGTGCTTGTTCACTAGGGCTCCCTAACAACGTACCGCAGACTGGGTGGCCTCCATACCAGAAGTGTACGGCCCCCACATTCTGGAGCCTGGAGGTCTGCGAGCAAGGTGTCCGCAGGCTTGGATCCTCCTGGGGCTGCCCATGCCTCTCCCCTGGCTTCTGCGGATTTCCATGGCAATCTTTGGTGTTCCTTGGCTTGGAGAAGCCTCACCCCAGTCACCGTCTTTTTCTGTATATAGTGATCTTCTTCCGCGTCTGTGTCCAAATTTCTTTTTTTAATGAGAACACCAGTCATATGGGATTAGGGCCCAGCCCCCTTCAATGTGACCTTATCTCAGCTTAACTAATTACACCTACAACAACCCTAAGTCCAAATAGGCTCAAATTCTGAGGGACTGACTGGAGGTTAGGATTTCAACACATGCATTTTGAGGGGACCCGGCACGTAACAGAGCATTCCCACAGCTTTGAGAACAAGAGTGAGAAGAACACCTGTTGGACAATTGCATGTGAGAGGTGATGAGGGAAAAGGAGGGCGGTGGAAAACGAAGGACAAGAACGACTGGGGGCAGCGTTGGTGGGCAGGAAGGAGCGAGAGCCCGCAGCATCAGACAGTGGGGATTTCTACCGGGTTGCTGGCGTCCACGGATTCATTCATTCATTCCTTCATTAGTGAGCCCCTGCAGTTTGCTAGCACTGTATAGAATATACATAATGCAATATAAAATATGCATAATTTGGAGGAATGGGTTCCAGTCCCTCAATGAGCTTCTAACTTAGCTGAAAAATTAGAAGTGTAGCATTGGAATAATGCATTCATTCATTCCACAGATAATATTGAATGTGTCTTGTGGACCAGGTATTGACCTGTGAGGGCGGCTTTTGAAGCCAGGGGTCATTTCTTGCTTAGCTGCTTCCTGTCCTCAGAGCCAGTCTACTGATTGATTTGTTACAGTAACAGCACAGTGGCCTGATTCGTTAAGGTGATAGTATCTTCTCTAACAGATAAACTCCAAAATCTCAGTGGCTTCACATAGCGGGTGTTAATTTCTGTCTTACATAAGTTTCTGATCAGAAGCAGGGTGTGGTGATAGGGTATATGCTCTGCTCCATGCAGTCATTCAGGGCCTCAACCTATCAGAGCCTCCACCATCTGCAATATGTGGCTTCCAAGTTACCCTCAGTATCGACTTCCAGCTGGCAGATGAGGGAAGGACTAGAGCCATGCTGTCCACTGCAATAGCCACTGGCTGCTTGTGGCTAAATTTACGTTGGAACTAAATACAATTAAAAATTCAGTTTGTTGGTCTCATTAGTCACATTTCAAGTGTGGCTTGTGGCTACCATATCGGACAGCACAGATACAGAACATCGCTGACATCATATATGTTCTGTATATATACAGAACATAGGCGGCACTGGTCCAAAGGATGGTGCATGGGAAATACAGGGGACAGAGGGAAGGCTGGGATGGCACACACCACTTCCGCAGTTCTAGCGTTCAGGTAGGAAGGTGAGGGAGGAAAGAATGTGACTGGAAGAAAGATGTCAATGGGTTGAAAGTATTAACTGGAAAAAAAATTACAAGATTTATAAATTGGGAAAAGGAAACCTTATAACTTTATATCTTTTTCTTTTCTTTTTTTTCTTTTTTTTTTTTTTTTGAGACAGGGTCTCACTCTGTCACCCAGGCTGGAGTACAATGATGTTATCTTGGCTCACTGCTGCAACCTCTGCCTCCCAGGCTCAAGTGATTCTTGTGCCTCAGCCTCTTGGGTAGCTGGGATTACAGGTGTACACTACCATACCCAGGTAACTTGTATTGCTAGTAGAGGTGGGTTTCGCCATTTTGGCTAGGCTGGTCTCAACCTTCTGCCCTCAAGTGATTCACCTATGTCGGCCTCCCAAAGTGCTGGGGATTACAGGTGTGAGCCACCGCACCTGGCTGGAAAAGAAAACCTTATTTCTTTTTTTTTTAGACAGAGTCTTGCTTTGTTGCCCAGGCTAGGGTATAATCTCGGCTCATTGCAACCTCCACCTCCAAGGTTCAAGCAATTCTCTTCCCTCAGCCTCCTGTGTAGCTGGGATTACAGGCGCCTGCCACCACACCTGGATAATTTTTGTATTTTTAGTAGAGACAGGGCTTCACCATGTTGGTCAGGCTGGTCTTAAACTTCTGACCTCATGATCTGCCTGCCTCGGCCTCCCAAAGTGCTGGGATTACAGGCGTGAGCCACTGTGCCTGGCCGTAACCTTACTTCTTATAAAGGGTTATAGCCTGTAAGTTGGCCATTCTGCAGCCTGGAAAGCACAGCCTCAGACCAAAGCCAGAGACAGGCACTTGGAGGGCAGAGAGGCTGGGATAGGAGATGTATGCTGAATGGGTTGGCTAAACAGACATAGTCAACAGATTACAGGAGGAGCTATTAATATTCAGGAAGGTGGTCCCGAGACATGTGTATTAAACAAACGTACATGTAATATACAACCCGTGTTCACCTTGGGGTGGAGACATAACATTTCAGTGTATTATATTTAGGCCCTGTGAATCCAAAGGTCTTTTCAGGACGTGAAGGCACTCAGTACACAGCCTCGGTCAACTGGACAAAACGAGTTCGCAGTCACTCAGTGGGTCTCAGCAGGAGAAAGTTATTGAACTCAGTCTCTTGTCCAGTCAAAGCTGTAGTTGCCGCCGGTGGAACAGGGGCTCAGTGAGTGTCTGGTGGCTGGTAAGCTGCAGTTGCTTCAACATTGCTTATCTCCAGGCCAGCGCTTGTTCAGCTGCTAGAGAAAAAGAAAAACCTTGTGGCGGTTAGGGCACGATTTATTCTTTTTTTTTTTTTTTTTTCATGATTCAGTCTCCGTAGAGACTGCCAAAAATTGCCAACGCCGACTATATTTCAAGTCATCATGGCAGGGATTGGGGAGAGTTTTCAATGAGCAATAATTGCGCCTCGGATAAACCTCATTGGCTACGATACTGTCACTGCACAAAGCTATTCTTTTTTCTTTTTTTTTTTTTTTGAGGCAAAGACTCTCAGTGATGCCGAGTCTGGAGTGCAATGCTCACTACAACCTCCATTTCCCAAGTTAAAGTGATTCTCCTGCCTCAGCCTCCTGAGTAGCTGGGATTACAGGTGCATGCCACCATGCCTGGCTAGTTTTTATAATTTTAGTAGAGACAGGTTTGCACCATGTTGGCCAGGCTGGTCTCAAACTCTTGACCTTAAGTGATCTGTCCACCTTGGCCTCCCAAAGTGCTGGGATTACAGGTGTGAGCCACTGTGCCTGGCCCAGAGTGTGGTTTATTCTTTAAGTGTAGGGGTACATGACTTAACCCTTAGCTGGCATGGCCTTAAGTCTTGTTTCTAACTTGGTATCTTATTGCCATGGAGAGTCCATTGTGTCTTATGATCTTATCATATACTGGTCAGTTGTGTCTAAAGTGTAAAAAAGAGGGAGTGTAACAAGCTGTGTTTAACCTGCCTTCCTGTCATAGCCAGGAACTCTGTTGTTTTGTTGTTGTTGTTGTTTTCAGAGCCAGAGTCTCCCCCTGTTGCCCAGGCTGGAGTGTAGTGACGTGATCTGGGCTCACTGCAACCTCCGCCTCCTGGGTTCAAGCAATTCTCCTGCCTCAGCCTCCTGAGTAGCTGGGATTACAGGCATGCACCACCCCTGGCTAATTTTTGTATTTTTAGTAGATACGGGGTTTTACCATGTTGGCCGGGATGGTCTCGAACTCCTAACCTCAAGATCTGCCCACCTCAGCCTCCCAAAGTGCTAGGATTACAGCTGTGAGCCACCATGACCAGATGGTGTTTTTTTTTGAGACAAAGTCTTGCTCTGTCACCCAGGCTGGAGTGCAGTGGCACGATCTCAGCTCATTGCAACATCTGCCTCCCAGATTCAAGCAATTCTCCTGCCTTAGCCTCGTGAGTAGCTGGGATTACAGACGTGTGACACCATACCTGTCTAATTTTTGTATTTTTAGTAGAGACAGGGTTTCACCATGTTGATCACGCTGGTCTTGAACTCGTGACCTCATGATCCTTCTGCCTGGTCCCTGCAAAGTGCTGGGATTGCAGGCATGAGCCACTGCGCCTGGCCCAGAACTCAGTTTTTAAGGTTTCTTTGGGACCCACTTGACCAAGAGAAGGTTCGGTTGGTTGAAGGGCTTAGGATTTAATTTTTAGCTTACAAAAGCAAGACGAAGAACATTCTAGACAGGGTCATAGTGAGCATAGGATCCCAGAGGCAGGAGGGTGCTTGCAGGGCTTGGAGTTCAGGGAAGAGGCCAGCATAGCCTGGTGGGGAGCAGTGGGCTGACAAGCTGGTGAGAGCTTGGGTGACGTTGGCGCCGGCCTTCATCACACAGCCTGCTTCTGAGAAGCTTCTGTCCTATCTTCATCATCAGTAATGATCTCAAAGTGTCCCAGAGCCACCGGTTTGGGAAATGGTGGCCCGTGGCAGAGCAGAGCAGAGCGCTGAGCACTGGCTGGCGGGTTGCTTCCTCGAAGCAGAAAAGGTTTGCACTTTGGATCTCACCGTAAGGCTGAAGGAAGTGGTGAGGCCCCTTCTTCATGCTCCTGCAAATGCCTCCATGTTGGCCAGATTCCGAAGACCGGAATAGAAGTCAGCGTAACCCAGTTAAGTTAGACCAATGCTTGATGAATAATAAGGCGTCTTTCAGTAAGAACATGGATAGATGCTTTTAAGGACTGAATGCAAGCTATTTTATGCAGATCCAGGTGGGAGACAGCACAGCAGACAAAACCCTGGGGATTATTGGGTGCACTATGTGAGAGCCAGCGCTGCTCTGAAATTGACAGAGGGGGGTGAGCGTGGCCATGATGAACCAGGAGGACATGGCATCGCCAGGGGGCAGCTGTCCGGCTGTGCACACGCAGCGGAGGTCAGGCGGGTGATGCGGCGGCGTGCCGTGCTTGGCTGTCTGCATTTTAAGAGCAATAAAGTAAAACTGCAGACAATCAAAAGCAGAAATGAGCAAAGGTTACAAAGGAGCTGGAAGTTGTTTAACTTGTAAAAGGGAAATGTAAGAACTGTATAATACAGGCTTATTCTGAGGTGCGTGAGAACCTGTGACAAGGAGAGCAGAGTCCCTTCAACTCCCCAGAGGCCAGCAGAGGTGAAAATAAGCCTCACTCTTGATGGAAAAGATGGGTGAATGCGGTGTCCCTGAAGACTGTTAACGTTTTAATTCATAACCATCTCTTATGGAACGGGGAGGCGGGAGCCTGGACTAGCCCGCACAGCGCCTGGCAATCAATATTCTCAGATGTTCTCTTGAGATGCTCTCTGTTTTCATGACAAACATCTTGCACTATCCCACCAGCACCTCTTGCTTACCTGGGGAAGAATACCTGTCCTCTGGCCTGTTCCCTTTTCAGCAGAGGAGGCTCCATTAACAGGACTCCTGGCCCTTCCCTGCCCCTTTCCCCTTCAACCTTGCAACTGGCTATTGAAAACTGTGGATCATGAACTGGATGCATCTGGCTCAGCGGTGCGCGTCTTTCCTCCCTTGGGAGCACTGCCTGCAGGAGCCGCTGCTCTCTGCTCCTCCTCCAAGGCCACCCCTTCTCCTCCTAGAAGTGGCGGACTGTCCGCTTCCGGGCGGTTGTTAGGAAGTCTTTGGTTCTCATCCGTGCCTTATCAACAAAGTGGAGGTTATTTTAACATCCATTGCCATGTCACTGTTTATTCCCCAAAGATTCCAAACTCAGGCAAGAAAGAGAGGTGCCATCTGGGCTGGGGAGAGGGTGACCCTGCAGGACCCCAGCAGTCGAGCTGAAATGATGAGCTCCCCGCTTTCACACCCTAGAATCCACTGTCAATGCCCATGAGAGCTGTGCAAAACAGAAATGCAATCACACTGCTTTTTGCTGAAAATCCCCCACTGGTCTCCTTCGCAGATGGAATCAGACTCCACTCCTCTCCGTGACCCCAGGACCTGGCCTCTCGCTCTGCAGCGGTGACTCAGGCCACTCTCCTTTTGCATTCAGGCTCCTCTCCATGACACCAAGCTTGGCAGGGCCGTTGGGATGTCGCGGTAGCCTTCTGCTGTCTGGAACGCGTATTGTTGCCAGAGGACTGCATCCTCAGTACCTGCTCCTGACTGGCCCTGTCCCCATGCTTCCCATGGTCTTTGTTCTCTTGACAACACGTAGCGCTATCTGACATCATCCCATGTACGTATTGTCTGTCTCCCCCACTACAATGGGAAGCCTTCCATAAGAGCAGATCTGGTCCAGCCACATCTCCTTTGCATGCTCAGTGCCTGGTATACAGTAGTCACTCAATAAGTGTCTGTGCAATGAGGGAAGGAGGGAAACGTCCAGGGGAAGTAGCCTAATATATAAGACAAACCTTGAACCATGAGCTGAGACATGTGGGACTTTGGAACTTGCTCACCACGAATGATTGTTGTGTCTTTGTGCTTGTCACCAACCTGTGTTTATTCACTTCCTTCATCTCTGAGGCAAGGAGCTGCAACCAGCTCCACTCTATGGGCAGAGTCTTTGGCAGGGCAGACAGAGGTCACCTTACTCCTCGTCCCCTCGGATTTACTTGCTTCTTAGGAAATGCTTGTTTTCCTGGCCCGTGACTTCTGATGGCTTTCCTTCTGCCTGCTCCTCTCCAGCATTCTGTGTGGCTGCTGAATTATTTAACTGTGTGTTTGGGGACAGAGTTTGAAGGGCAAATAAGATAACAAATGAACCGGTGCTGTTTGCATCATTCTTTTCGCTGCTGGGGATTCTTGAGCTTTTATTTTTCTTGAGCATCTTAACTCTACTAACATAAAGAGTAAAACAAATCACATCCACAAATCAAACCCCCAGCCCTGCCAGAACCGCTGCGGCCGAACGGCAGCGATTTTAAATGAGAAGATTATAGCCGCGGCTAATGGAGCAGGAGGGAGAAGCACTTGTACTGGGCTGGCAGCGCCAAATGCCCCTTATCACCCCCGAAGAGTGTATTACTTTAATGTTAAACACAGTCAATTGCAAACTCGTAAAGTCACATTCAGACTTTCCTCCCTTCTGGTTGTCCGGTGACAGGCATGTGCATTAATAAGTTTCTCCTCATTGTGAGGCTTCTCAGCAGCCCGCTCCAGAGCCTTTATCTCCTTTGGTACCTTGTGTTGAACCATGCAATAAAGTCTCCTTTTTAAAATACAAAGCGTTTCCCCCAACCCTATTCTTCTGGGGCTTTTATGACTCACAATTGACAAAGGCCTCACTAATGGAAATGCAAATTTCCTACCTGTCAAAGACTGAGAATGCTTTCTGAAAACACTAGTGGGGCAGAAAGTACATTAGCATCTGCATATTAGGGAGAGAAGCTGCTTCCAATAATTTTGTGGGATAAAAATGTTTATTTGATGCTGGGACAGAAATCAAATAGTACGGATAAGATCTCCCATGCAGACAGGACAACTTCTGGGTAATGTTAAACATTTGTATGCCTTTGACTCCAGCCCATGTATTATGTAGATTTAAATAACACCAATGCTGCTTTCATAAGGGCTTTGATTTGGGGACTAGATGGGGCAAGAGGGTTGGGTGCCTTGGGTCTCCCTCTTTCTGCCATGCTTTCCACCTGGTACAGCAAAAGTCTGCTGAAGGTCCAACCAATGTATGGCTGCAGTGGGAATCCTCACTTGTCAGTGAGGAGCTTTCTTCCTCTGGTCCAACACTACCTTTTTCAGTCATATTCTATTATTTATTTACTTATTTATTTATTATTTATAGAGACAGGGTCTTGCTCTGTTGCCCAGGCTGGAGTGCAGTGGCACAATCATGGAGCCTCCAACTCCTCTGATCAAGCGATCGTCCTGCCTTAGCCTCTTGGGTAGCTGAAATTACATCACATTCTATTGTTACCATTACTGTGTGTGCGTGAGTGTGTGTGTGTGTGTGTGTGTGTGTGTGTGTGTGTGTTTGAAGAACACAGAGGGAAATATGGTATTTGCCTGTGATT